ACTTGCCACCTTTAACCACCTCGAGTTCATTCATGGTATATTCTAGTTCATTGTATTCATGGCACTGCTGCTCAACGCTCGCTAAACCTTTCTAAAACTAAGGAGGTTACAACCAGTGAGTATAACGTAGCAACCCTTTCTTGTCAAATAGTGCTCAATGTACATGCCAATGGCTGCTAATAGGGATCACAGCGTGTGCGTTAACTAAAAGCCGAATGCTCCTGTCTCTCATTCCCCAATAGCAGCCATTGGCATGTACAATGAGCACTATTTTTGTTGTTCAACAAAGCACAGAAAAAATCTCTCACCAGCACCATCTTGGTGGTCAAAATGTTATTTCTGTTAGATACTACAACGGCTACGAGGAACGAACAGGTGCTCCACTTTTTCATAAACGCCGCCCTGGTCGCCGCCATAGCCCTCCTTGGGCTGTGCAAATTGGCGCGTCCCCTCGAAAATGCACTGACAGCGCTGCACACTTTGCCTTTGTACTCCCACGCACAGCCCGTCATGGCGGTGTTTTTTTCCTTCCTCTGAAAAGGTGTATAAAAAGCTTCGCCCCTAAAAAATAACGTTAGCGTCTCCACAAGGTTTTTGCGTCTATGAAAGGAGGAAAACAATGATTCCGACCAAGCATGCTCTGCAATTTGGGAAATGGGTTCTTGACTTTGCGTTGTTGCAATCGCCCAGTACATGCTGGCCATAGCTTTCTTTGCTCTCTCAAATAAGTCTCAACGCTTCAAAAAAGTTACGTGTTCTTTTCCTTAAAAAAAGAACATTTGATTTACTTCCTCTCAAATCAATGTAAGATTTATTGTGTGATGGTTGTGCGAAAAAGTTGTGCGCTTGCGAAACCGAAACATTAGTCGCCCGAAAGCGGAGTACTCGGCGTAGTAACACCGGTGCAGAATTTCCGCCCACGTAGCTTTGGCTGTGCTGCAACAGAAAATTGTCGCCGAGTGTAGTATACTCTGCAGCGCGAAGCGCTGTTCTTACGCGGGTGGGGAGTGGCTTTCTGGCAAGACTTTTGAACCGAAAGATGACATACCTTGGCGCAACGCTGCTACCTAAAGGTAATATATACAGTAACTCTAGTTCGATTATGCCACACGTATTTCTGACGTGCAGCACGTGTTCTACTGGATGTTGCCGCGAGATAGGTGCGAGTTTCACAAGACTTAAGTTCACCAGCCAGTCAGGCAAAGTACATTACTTGGTCCTAGAAAAGCGAGAATGGCCCCATAAGGTGGTATTGTCTGCTCCCACAATTACACCGGGATTGAGGGGCGAGGCTCCTTATAGCGGCACCCGTTCGTCCCTCGTTGTTATTATAGTATGTTACAAGTGTAATATTTTGACCTCCTATGTGGTGCTGGTAAGAGATTTATTCTGTGCGTGGTTGAACAATAAAAATAGCACTCAATGTACATGCCGATGGCTGCCAATGGGGAATGAGAGACAGGAGAATTCGGCTTTTAGCTAACGCACACGTTGCAATCCCCATTAGCATTCATAGGCATGTACAGTGAGCTCTATCTGACAAGAAAGGGTTGCTACGTTATACTCGCTGAGTGTAACCTCCTTGGTTTTATGAAGGTTTAGAGAGCGTTGGGCCGCAGTACCATGAATACAATGAACTAGTGTATACCATGATTGAACTCGAGCTGGTTAAAGGTGGGAAGTAGATACGACGTGCAAGCCGTAAGAAAGTAAAAGCCCAATTCTCCTGTCTCTCATTTTCCATTAGCAGCCATTGGTATGTACATTGAGCGCTATCTGAAAGGAAAAGGTTGCTTCGTTACACTCGCTGGGCGTAACCTCCTTTATTTAAAAAGGTTTAGCGAGGGTTGGGCCACAGTACCATGAATACATTGAACTAGTATATACCATGAACTCGAGGTGGTTAAAGGGGGGACGTAGGCCCTAAGCGCAAGCCGTAAGAAAGTCTGCGTGTGCCACCTCTCGTTTTAGTCCTTTGAATGTCCGCTGGATGGCGGTGCTTTTATGTGATTTATGGTGAAAAGATGCGAGATGGTGGTACTTGGATTGTTGAATAGATGGACAAACAGACACACAGACAGATGCATGGATGGACGCATGAACGAATGCAGGGGCGGATGCATGAACGAACGCAGGGAGGGACGCACGAACAGACACACGCACGAACGGGCAGACGGACGCATGGACAGTCACAAAGACGGACGCATGGACGGATGGAAGCAAGAACGTACTGCTTCGCCCCACTCTCCATCATTCACTCCATAGATATGCTGCCAATTTTTTTCTATGTGTCAGTGCTGTCACTAAATTGTGCTATTTTCTTGACGTTATAATAAATGCGAAGCATTTGTTAGCGAACTTCGATGACTTTGAGCGTATCTATCTAGACGCTTGCGTTTGGATGCTCTCGTGGTCACCCGTTTAATTTGGCGTGAACCAAAATTAGCATGGGAGGGGTAAGATGGTTTGACGATTATGACTCGCTGGTAAAGACTTGAATGATGCCAGAATCCCGTCGCATACGTCGTCAAACACTTCGCGCCAGACGGCGACACATACCCACGGGTGGGTATGTGCCGCTGGTATGCGGGCATGTGCAACAGGTGAGTGACACTTAGTATCTACTCAGGAAAGGCGAGAATACACATGGACAATTTTAACGCGTAATCGTTAAGAAATACAGGACATCGGTAGGATCAACCCGACGAATGCAAAGAATAAATTTCAAGGTCCCAGCTGGAATAGAACCAAAGAATTCTGCTTGGCAATGAAGCATTTTACCACTGCGCTACGCCAAGTTTCAGAACTACTTTTCAAATAGGCGCTAATCTTCGTGAAACGTCCGTAGTGGTTTCAGTGCTGACCACCCACTTTTTTAAACATTACATATGTACTCATTTTATACAGCCGTCACGTTGGGTTAGCGTCAATTGTGGTTAGTTGCCATGCGCTGAAGTTCATAACTGTAGCAGTGCCAAGGGCTAGCATCCTCGCGCGAATCAGCACTTCATATCAGCTTCTGATGTTGCTAATACGCATGTTCCAGTTAATGTTGTTGCACAAGTGCAAACAACTGGTTATATAAGCATCTGCAACTCTTCAACATATGCCTGTGTGTTCAACATTTGTACATATATTTAGGGTATATTTGTAACAAATACTAATACATTTGTAATAATTGTAACACGGTCACCTTCCGTACGCATGCTTCGCATAACGTTGATTCCCGGGTACATGAGATCTGCCGAACTTTTGTAAAAAGTCGGCGAAGAATAAGGCTAATTTGCGAGTGTGCCTTTTTGTTGTCGTCACATTCTCCTGAACATTTTTACATGTTGTGCTAGACCGCCACCTTCTGATCTCCCATAGCTTTTTTTTTTAAACCAAGGTAAGTGGTCTCTCGAGATATATTGGCCGGGTTGGCGACGGGTAATAGTATGAACGAAATCAAAATATTTACCTCGGGGTACGTCCCGAAACTCCAACACGATTTTTGCGTGTTGTAAGTTATACATTTGGCTACATTATTCAGGCATTCAGGCGATATTCGATTTCCCATATTTCTTCCTAGTAGTAATAAGCAAGTTACGTTGAGTTCGGGCTGAGGTCTCACAGTATGACGCTGATCCACGTGTTTTGTTTTTTTTTTCTTCTTCTAAGCGCATATGCATACGAAGCAACAATTTTACTACATTAGCCAGGAAACGGGTCAGAGTACCTAAGACCTACAAAATGGTAATATTAGCAGATAGAGACAGCTCGAGGCATTTAGGATAGTGTTGTCGCGATCTTTGCTGTTAGCACTGCTTCTCATGTTTAAAGAATTACTGTTACACGGCTAGAGTGAAATTCTGTGTTTTTGAGTGAAAACATAGTGCACTTCGAAGCATACACGAAGCTTAGTCACCTCAAACAAGCAATGGACAATCACTAAATGTCGGTTAATCCCGAAACACAACATTACAGGCTCTATTCAACCTGCACATATACAAAAAATGGACTCTAAAAGAATATTTATTTTCAAATTAAACGCTAGACCGTGGCCGCCTTAAGCCTAACGCACCGCCGGCGACAGCCGTTTTGCCAAGACACGTGAGATGTCTTGAGCTTCATGAAGAGGAGCGTCATCTTTTTCCCAAACTGGAGCCGTTGCAAACCGTTATTCTTGAAATGTCAATATTGAAAAGCTGAAATAGCTCTTTTTCACATGTAGTTTACCACAAAACAATATCGTAAGCCGGAATACAGACTCTCGCAAAGTAAGCGGCTTGTTAGGTCATGGCTGTTTCACGGCTTGTGAGTGCGCCAATGTCGTTAAGCTTTTGAGCCTTTTATGTGTTGATGGGAAATCTTTTTAAAAGCTGCATTGTTTACCAACTTTGCTCCAATATACTCAACCCAAAGGCAAACACCAAAGAACTTAACACATCCCACAGATTATGAGCAAAAATTGGTGGTCATGGCCGCATAAAGCGAAAAACATAAAATTACTTAAACTGCTAGTTTTGCTATTTTAATATTCCTGATGATGATGAAAGGTTACTCACGCTGCTGTGGCTCTTGCAGTCAATCTTTAAAGTCATGTGCTCTGCCTTTACATATTGGTGAAACGATTCGTCGGTGATTCGTCGTATGAATCACTGGTTCTATTGCTAACATTACAAAATTTCTATTCGATTTTAAATTTCAAAGTTAATATGTGTCACAACAATTAAGGAAGGGCTGATTACCATTATATCTAGCTTGTCGACCTATCTTGTCATAAGAAACGAGCTGATAATGGGACTGGACAAAATAGCTCATGCATACCTTGACGCACGCCAGATACAGCGCCGTAGCAACGACTTCGGCGCTAAGGTGGCGGTAATATGCTCGATTTCGGTGTCATGTATTTCAGCCATAAAAAAGGGTAGCAAAGCGTTGTTTGCCCTGAATGGGGTATGTGGTGGATGGAAAAGAAAAAAACAACGTTCTTACAAACTTGCTTGTTATAATTTCAGATGCGCGGAGGATGTAGTTGTTGGTGACATCTACATACCGAAGGGCACAATTGTTATTCCGAACATTTGGGCGGTCCACAATGACCCTATTCTGTGGAAAGATCCTACGAAATTTCACCCTGAACGCTACCTCAGTGAGGATGGAATGACACTTTTGCATAAGCCGGAACATTTAATACCGTTCTCCATCGGTAAGTCATTTTCATTACACCAGACGCAGTAGATGAGCAACCGAGCGCAGCAAAGGGAAGTGCAGATAGCAGACACAAGGACAGCATGTTTTGTTGTTACCTGAATGTACGAAAAAAATTTGTGCGTTCCATACGAAATGGTGTAGTGAAAGTCATTTGTGCGTAGGTGTCCGCGACAACATACGAAGATAAGGAAAATGGTGGATACAATGATAACCATCAAATCAAGCATCCCAATAAAGTTCACACGTTGTTTATGTCTCCTGTTAGTGCTGCTAGCTTTAAAGATGCGACTCGAACCCACCAGATTGAGTTCGTTTGAAGCAAGCACAAGAGCAGTCACGCAGATGTGCAATTGTCGATGGTGCTATGGTTCAAGCTTAATAATATATAATATGAAAGTAGGTAGGCTTGCTTACCCGAAGTAAACGATTAAACAGAAAAAGGCTTGAAAAAGGCTGACAAAAGAAGGGCACGCTTTGGCAAGAGTTTGTATGTGCACGGTTAAAGTGATTGCACCAAATGCCGATCAGATGAATCTTTGTGCTGATGCCACATGCGGGTCACATGTATAAGCGTCTAAACTTTATATGCCAATAGTAGAAAAAGCGCATATGTAATTTAGTCTTCCATGCACCTTGGGATAAATAAACATAACAAGAAATGAAAATGAACAAGAAATTAAAGAAAAAACACCAGAATTACTATATCACATAGAGGCGCAGGATTAGCGCACTACTTAATTGGCACCAAAATTATCACCTAAATGGAGACGAAAGAGCCAAAAAATCAAAGCCATATCCGCAAAGGGAATGATGCTATAGGAGTTTGTTAGGAAGTGAATGGGGCGTACCTTGGTGAAAGCATATCTGTAGAAAGGCTTGTAAATGAGCCGGTGCAAAAAGTGTGCGACGTTGTTAGGCCCGTTCCACGTTCAACACTGCACAGTGTTGTCCATGTCGATCGGCTCATTAACCAATCTGTCCCATTATTCCAGTGATGTGGTATGAGCGCAAAAGATCTGCAGTCTTCCTGTGAGTGCGGTGGCGAAGGCAACGATGAGGACACTGGCGCATTTGTGAGAATGCGCCACTGTGGTTAGCTTTGGAGGTGATAGAAAAGAAAAGAGGACCACGTTCGGACACAACGCCACGGGCCAAATAAAAGACCCGAGGTGTGGAGTGCTGCGCAGTTCAGAATGTGCGGTGGGTTCCGGGAGAAGCAGTGGAGAGGCAGTTTGCCAACGTCAAGGTTGTGGTTTGCCCCGAGTACCTCGCAGAGGTCAAGAGACGGCACGGCTTGCTTCGCTGGACATCAAGCTTCAATGGTCTACGGAGCCAATGGGAAGCTGCCGCAGCCATCATGTCCACCATCGGGCGTGTAAACAGGCTAGAAAACTACAAAGCCTGCGATTCAAGAGAAACAAGAGTATCTCGATGCTTCATCTCGGCTATTCACAGTGACGGCAACAAAGCACTTCTTTCCTGACGGTAAACTAGCCAATACATCACCTGTAGTTTACATGCGAGAGACTAGAAAGTGTTTTGTGGAGTTTGATGAGGAAGAAGGCCACTTGAAACACGAAGGAAAGGGAAGTTTCCTTAGGAGAAGATGTGTTGTGGAAGCTCTCAGAAGATGGGCATCGTTACTCAAGTATGATTACCTCAGAATAGCCCTGATAGAGGAGATCCTAATGGTGACCAGGAAGGATGGCAGCGAATGCCTCAAAGAAGGTTTCAAAATGAAGGTAGCGTATTCTTGTGTAGCAATAAATTGGATAAATAGAGGAACAAGACTTGTGGGAGACCATGCGAATAAGTCGCTCATGGAGCATAAGGGCCACATTTCGAATGTCAGTACATACCAAGTATGTACGAGACAGATGGGCAAAAGGCTGAGAGTTTACCTGCAAGTACACAAAAAGCCGTCTCATGTGTCCTGGCATGATGTGTCGGGGCGAGATGATACCAATAGAAAGTTAGACTGTACTGAACAAAGCACCAAATCAGCAGCCGAGATTGAAGAAGGTGGAGGACTGGCATGGCCTAATTTATTTAGTAGAGCCTACTAATGCTTTTAACAAGAAATTTAATCTCCGAGAGGATACGTCCGCTAAACTTTGAGTACTTAAAACGATTTCAAAGCAAGACAAGGTGTTTCCAAACTTCCCTTGCTGGAAAACACCATTTGGACGCTTTTGCCTCAGTGCGTCTCAAAAGCCTAATAATCGGGTCGATTCCTTCTTGCGCTGTGGTAGAGCACACTCTAGCTGAGACTATCAGTTCCGAGAAGTCGGAGTGGCGCCACCTGGTGGGAGAATTTAATACCCTCACGGCACGGACTCTTGAAATCTTGCTGTGGCGCGCATATACAAACACGCACTCTCTTTGAACGTCGTTGCGCTGCCGGCGTTCACTTTTTCCTCTTCTCGCGCTTACCCGAATGATGAAAGCAGCATCATTAATGTCCTGGTAATACAACAAAAAACTAAACACTTTTTTTTAGTAGAATCACCAACGGTTCCTGCTCTCCAGCGTACACGCTTTGATGAGGTTTGTTAAGGTGCCGCGCTGCTTACGTTCAAGATGGGTTCAATTCTCGGCAACAGCAGCTTCATCCGACAGGGGCGAACAGGAAAACAATGCATGTAAAGCTGGTTAAAGATGCACAGTGACCACAATTACTCTGCAGTGTTCCTTACATTCATGTCATATGAAACGTATACGACAGCGTACGTAAATTTTGGGTTGCGTTGTTAACAGGTCATTCCTTTGGAAATATGTGATTCTTTGACGCCCACAATCGGTATCTGTATCGGGCGCGTCGGAGTAACTGCTGGCACCGGTTTTTTTTTTTCTGGGGGCTGGAGACTATGTAAGTATCGAGTGTCGCAAAATATTTCAAATGCGCTCGCCCGAGAAAACCACCGCAGCTGCCGCGTTAAATTTTCTTGTGCGTTGTGGCTGATACTTATTCACGTTATTTACCTTCATATCTCTTGGAATAATTTTGGTGCTCTGTTTCACTAGAAAAATAATTTGACTTTGGTTGTAGAAACTGCTACTGATTTCAGATAATGCCTACGTGCAACAATCTAGCAATTTTGCTGTCATGCTTGCAAGTTTCATTTTAGATAGCGATCCTGGTGAACTAAATTGTTGCTATAGTTATTTACCGCATAAAAAGCAATAATCGGTATATGAAATTGACGTGCGAGAGCAATCGTTCCTTCATGGAGGCAAAGGGCGTTTCAAGGGTGTGTGCCATCGAAACACTTCGTTTCGCCCTTGTGGCATGTAGTTTCGAATGATTGCTATCAGCAGTGCTTCTAAGTGGAGTGAACATTACCGTTTATGACATGGTGATAGATATACTCAGTTGTTCACGTGAATTAGAGTACGCGACTACGTAATTCTGACGACTGTTGATAAGAAATTTGTAGATGAGATCTGACGTTTAAAAATTTCGGAAACCACTCTATGGTTTGCAGCGTTACTTGTTTTCGTCACTATTATAAGTGATTGGGCATGAAAGATAGATCTATCTGAAGTACCCTGCATTTCAAAGCGGAATTCCCTCTAAAGAGATACATTATTTGCAGAGTCACACATATCTTGCAGAATAAATCGCATTGCTGTGAGTAATCTGGGAACTTCCTAAATTAGTTTGTAATACTTCGACACAAATATGCTTTGACATAAGTCTATGCCAATACTTCGAAGAATACTTCGACACAAGTATAGGCCATAGTTGTAATGAATTCAGACCCATTTAGCACAGATATTTTGTTAGCATTAATTTGGTACAGTACGTGTGTGGTGAAAACAACTTATGTATCGCTATCCTGCACCTTCATTTTTAAAGTGGATACATATTTGCTGCAGCTTAGTTAACTTTAACAGCAATAAATGCCGTTACTTTGTACCTTTAGTGATTTACTACTCGACATTGAGAAGAAATTAACACCGTATCGCTGAACAGTGGGTACACAGCAGGCTCGAAAGAAGCGACTGTTGGCATGCGTCGCTGGCGGAGCAGACTAGTCCTTGCCGTGACATCAATCCCTCGTGACTGCAGCGACGCCAGTGTTTGTTCTCGGGGCTAATAAGATATTCCGCTCAGCGCACAAGTGTTCTTAGAGAGCAGTACACAGACACGCTTCAGTGAACATAGTTCTTCTCTTATTTTTCCGAAGTGCCAAAACAATGCCACTCGACTGTTTTCGGATGCTATAACGTGAACATTCAGTTGACAAACCTATCGCTGTTTTCTCCGTTGGACTTGGGAAGGCGGATTTAAAACTCCGCTCATCAACGGTTTTACGATGATATATGTGCTGCGACATGGTAAATGCTTCACACAGTATTTTACCAGCCTTAGAACCTGACGGACATAAGGTGCCAACATTCAGGGAGCAATATTGTACAAGTGTGTGCATTTGTCCTCAAAAGTACTGCACGCATAAAGGTTGCCTTTTGTTCTTGTTTCCCATGAAACGAAAGGATTAAATGTGGTCTATGTGATATCATTTGAGCATAAAATATCTTCAGTCCACCGGTCTGTGTGTGATGGTGTACGACAACGATGAAGACTCTGACGCACTAGCAAGAATGCGCCACGGTGGTAGATTTGGAAGGTGATAGAAGAGAAAGCAAGGCCGCTTGCGGACATGAGGCCACGGGGCAGAGAGATGATCCGAGGAGTGGAGTGCGACGCAGTTCGGAAGTTGAAGATGGTTCGGTGAGAAGCAGTGTGGAGGCAGTTCAGCAGCGTCACGTCCGTGCTTTGCCCCGAGTGCTTGCCAGAGGTCAAGAGATGGTGCTGCCTGCTTCACTTGGCCTCAAGCTTCAATGGTCCACAGAGACAGTGGGAAGCTATCGCAGTCACCTGGTCCACTGTCGTGTGTTAGTCCGAGTTCTTGGTTTTGTTCCCTCGTCCACACGTCCTTTGAGAAGACTACCTACTTCATAGACCCTGTTTTCGTAACCTACCCGCTCTAT